GAATCCAGGTACCAAAAAAAAAAAAAAGGAAGAGAAAAATGTAGCTGGGCACAGTGGTGCATGCCTGTAATCCCAGTACTCAGGAGGCTGAGGCAGGAACATTGCCTTGAGTTTGAGGCTAGCCTGGGCTACATAGCCAACGAAGTATGTATATAGTTCGAGGATATAAAATTTATTTACCTAGTTGTTAGGTCATTACCGGCATCCATGCTACATTTGTGTTTCAAGCAGATGATCTTCTTTGCAGATTTGAGAATGGATTAGAGAAGGGGAAAGTTGTTGGAAAACTTCATGGGAAGCCACACACAAAGCGGTGTGAATGCTGAAATTTTCTGGGTGTCCTGTGGATTGTTGGCTGCCAGGTACCACAGGAGCAAGCTGTGTGCTGGAATCTGAGGAAAGGCTCTCTTGTCAGGTGTCATTGAGCGCCCTCTACAGGGGGAAAATGAAAAATGGCCATTGACAGGCAACCAACCACGTGAGCCACAACCAGGGCTTCTGCTTCAAGGACCCACAGAAATGATGTTTGTGATCCTGTTTTGGTGAGCAAACACTGCACCTAACCAAATACCCAATTCTGACCCTAGATATTTGATCTAGATAAAGCCCTGTAGGCTCCTTCGTTTGGCAGAATAAGGGAACTAGGTGTGAATATGATGAATTTGTTAAAAGTTGATTCTAGGAACTTTTATTTTTATTATTTATTTCTTCATTGTCAGTTTTTTGAGACAGGATCTCACTGTGTAGTCCAGGCTGGTCTTGAACTCGGTATGTGGCCCAGGCTAGCCTCGAACTCATGGCAGTTCTTCTGCCTCAGCCTCCCAAATTCCAGGATTATAGGTGTGCACTACCACACCCAGCCTCTAGGAACTTTTAATAGCAAATGTTAAGTAATTTGAGCCTCAAAACATTATGACAAAAACAAGTTTTATACTGAATAAAGCCAAGTATGGTGGCATACCCCTGAAGTTCCAGCAGTTGGGAGGCTGAGGTAAGAGGATCACCATGAGTTCAAGGCCAGCCTGCACTACAGAGTGACTCCCTGTCTCCCAAAAAAAAAGTCCCCAGGGCCAGGGCAGGAAAAATCCCTACTAGGAATGTTTTGAGGTTTTAGGGAGGAAGAAAAGAATTAGAGATTGGCAAGATACTGGATACCAGTGATTTGAGAGTTGCAGTCTGAGTGTTTATTACAAGTTTGAAGAAACGGTTAAACAGAAGCTATATACATAAATACTTACGTATGCGTGGACATCTCCAGAAGGATAAGAATAATACTGTTCTCTGTATGAAGAACTGGGAAGGACAGAGATGGAAAGGGAGAATTTTCACTGAATACCTTTCTTACCTTTTGGGTTCTGTTCGTTTGTAGATGTTACCTGTCCAAATAGAAATTTACTCAAAAATATTCAAACTTAAAAAGATGCTAAGGAGCTGGAAGCAGCAGTACAAGCCTGCACAGTAAACCCCCCACTGACAACCAAGTTCCATTCTGGGAGAATTATTTGTAAGTCAGATTAGTTTATAAGCCAACAAAGCAAGTCCTTATACAGTACACCTGTGAAAGTTCACAACTCTCATATTTGTAAGTTGGGGACTTCCTGTAATCCCAAAGTACCCGGGAGACAGTGCAAGTTCAATACCACCCTGGGCAGTTTAGCAAGATCCTGTATCAGTGAATAATACATAATAAGGACTGAGTATATAGCTCAGTGCAGGGCCCTGGGTTCAGTCCTCAGTATCCCCCTCACAAAGATTAATGTTAATTTAAGTACAAGAAATTATGACCTTTCTGTAAGGCTTTCTATCTGCCTTAGAGTAAAAATTGAAAATTTTTTTGTACCTAAATCTTTTTCTTTTTTGGTACTGAAAATCGAACTCAGGACCTTGTGCTTGCCGGGCAGGAGCTTATGCCACTGAGCTATCTCCCCAACCCCTATTCCTAAAACTTAATTTACACATATTAAGGACTTTGCTTCTATATAAATTATTCTTATTTGGAATAATAATAATATCCAAAAACTAAGAGAAGCCAGGCGTGGTGGTGCACGCCTGTAATCCCAGCACTCAGGAGGCTGAGGCAGGAGGATTGTTGCAAGTTCGAGACCAGCCTAGACTACAAAGTGACCTCAAGGCCAGCCTGAACTGTATAGCGAGACCCTGTCTCAAAAAAAGACAAAAACAAAACAAACAAAAAACCAAGGGGAAAAGTGCTTTTGGAAAAGTTTTGGATATCATTTATGCACTGTATAGTTATTACTTTAATATTTATCTCAGTATTATCTTAGCTATCTCAGTATTCAGCTTTATCGGCCAGGCAGCGCTGTTTAGGTGGTCTAAAGAGGTAAATACCTTTGTAAGCTTGTGTGGATTGTAGTTGGTTTTTAGTGGTCACATGTGTTCTCTGGCTACTCCTGACAGTTGAATTGCCTCTTTGAAGAGGGCTAGGTGACAGTGAACGTTGCTAGGTTAGGAGGAGTAATTGATTTGAATTATTCTTCTGTTGGACTGTGAGCATGTTTGAACCGGTGAGTGTTTCTGGTGGGAGCCAATAGGGAAGTTTTAAGGAAGGGAAAAGACAGAGAGAGCTTCCTTTTATTCACAAAAAGGGTTTAAGGCCATCCTAGACTGCATAGCAAAGTGAGACAATATCTGAAAAAACCTGAAAAATTATTTCGATTAATTTTGACTCTCTGTCCTTCCCTGTACATTTTAGAATCAGTTTGTCAAATTCTACAAAAGTTCTTTTGGGGTTTTGGTTGGGATGACATTTACTTTGACTTATTTGGGGGAAGAATTAACACCTTTATAATATTTAAAGCCTTCCTCTGTGAATGGGCTTGTTTTCCCAGTTATTTAAATAATCTTTTTAATGTGTCAGAATCTATTTCTATAATCTCTCCATAGAAGGTTTGTATTACTTTTGTTGAACTTATTTCTAAATACCTTATATCAGGTTGTTTTAAAAATGTATATATTCTATCTTTTGTAATTATATAGAAATACACAACAAGCATTGTTAATTCCCTATCACTCTGTTTGTAACTCTGTACTGTCTGTACTGATCCTTTGCTGTTTTGTAAAATGTTGTCTGTCCGTTAGTATTTTCCTCCTTTTATTTTTAAAATTTAAAAAAAAAAAAGAAATACAGCTGATGTCTGTATACTAGGCTTGTATTTAATAATCTTGTTAAACTTTCTAATTTCTTCTGGATTTTCCATGTACAAATGAAATGAACTGAAATCAAGTGTGGTGATACACACATAATCCCAGCTACTGGGGCAGTTGAGACAAGGAGTATTGAAAGTTTGAGACCAGTCAGGATGATTTAGGGAGAACTTGTCTCAAAATTAAGTTTCAAAAGGGCTGGAGGTGTAGCTTAGTTGTTGAATGCTTGCCTAGCATGGGGACAGTCCTAGGTCTAATCCCTAGTATTCCCCTCCACCAAAAAAAAAGAAAGGAAGAAAACTGCAAATAATGATAGCTTTGTTTTTTCCTTTTCAATTCATCTTATTTTTTTTTATCATCTTACTGTGTTGAGAAGTATCTGCAGCCTAGTATTAGAAGAAAATGGTACAAGGCATTGTTTTCTTATTCCTTTTATTTTAAGGAGAATACTTTTAATAGTACCTGTAAGTGTTAAGTAATGTGTTTGCTGCAGAATCCTCTCTCCGTGTGTGTGTGTGTGTGTGTGTGTGTTTTGCTGGGGACTCAAGCAGGGTATGTAAGCACTCTACTACTGAGTTATGCCCCCACCCCCTGCTGCAGATTTTTGATGTATGCTCTTTATCAGGTTAAGAAGGTTTCCTACCAGGTGTGGTGGCACCTAATGCTGAGGCAGGAGGATTGCCTCAAATGCAAGGCCAGCCTAAACTATAAAATGAGACCTTGTCTTAGTGTACCACTCCAAAAAAAGTTTAGTTTTATTTTTAGTTTGCTGAGTTTTTTCTAGTTTTTTTTTTTTTTTTTTTTTTTTTTGCGACAGGGTCTCCCTCTGCAGTTCAGGATAGCCTTGAGCTCATTCTATAGTCCAGGCTGATCTTGAACTCACACGGATCCAATGATCCTCCTGCCTCAGCCTCCCGAGTACTGGGATTACAGGCGTACACCACCATGCCCGGCTGCTGAGATATTTTTAATTGTGATTAAATTTTTAATATTTTCAAATGTAAAATCCAAAAATAAATATTCCAGTTATCCCCTTCTAGGTATCTTCCCAAAAGAGTTAGTTAAAAATATCATATTATATGCATACTCATGTTTTTTTAAATTAATTAATTATTTATTTATTTTTGCATACTCATGTTTATTCCAGCACAGTTTATAGTAGGTAAATCTTGGAAATGGTCTGTATGTCCATCAACAGATGAATGGATAAAGATAGTGATATTTATACACAATGGTACACTACTGTGTCATAAAGAAGGATAAACTGGAGTCCTTTGTAGGAAAATGGATGTACCTTGAGACCATAATGTTAAGTGAAATAAATCAGACACATGAGCTTAAATGTCACATATTTGCTATTCTGTTTTTCTGTTTTGTTTTTTGAGGTCTCACTATGTAGTTCAAGTTAACCTAGGTAGCCCAGGTAACCAGGCTGGCCTCAAACTCACAGCGATCCTCATGCCTCAGCATCCTGAGTGCTGGGATTACAGCCATGCACCACCATCACATATTTTCTCTTATATGAGAAACCCAAAATATAGAGAAAAATAAAAGATAGATAATAGGAAATAGATCTTTTGCAAAAGGGAAGGGTACCAAAAGATAGAGGGAGAGGGGATGAAAAAAAAATTGAGATGTGTCATGTACATGTACCCACTCTCCATGAGGAATGTGATCATTATGCACTGCAAACATGTATGTACCAGTAAAAAGGATTGAAAAATATTCTTGCTTTGCCACTTCTATGGAAATTAACGTGCAGCTTTTCTTTTTTAGTGTGTTGTGATGCTGTTAGCTTGGAATTAAAACTTTCTGCTTATGTTCTTCGTCTTCAGGTGATCTGTGGAGCTATGATTTCTTCAGTGGTGAATTTGTGGTGTCGCCAGAGCCAGACACGAGTGTCCACACTCTCGATCCCCAGAAGCACAAGTATATTATCCTGGGGAGTGATGGGCTTTGGAATATGATTCCACCTCAAGATGCTGTTTCGATGTGCCAGGATCAGGAGGAGAAAAAATACTTGACGGTGAGCAGTGACTCAGTCAGTTTTGTTTTTTTAATATTGGGCTTAGAAGTCAGGGGTGCTTTACAACTGAGCTACATTTCCAGCCCTTTACATTGTTTTCCTTCCCTTTCCGCCCGCCCCCCCCCCCAAAAAAAAACCTACTAGGGACTGAACCTAGAGGTACCCATGTCGCTGAGCTAGAACCTCAGCCCTTTAAGTTTTTATTTTGAGATACAGTCTCACTAGGTTGCTACGGCTTGCCTCAAACTTTTAAATCCTCCTGCCTTAGCCTCTCAAGTAGCTGGGATTAAAGGCATGTGTCACCACAACTGGTCTCTCCTATCCCCTCCCGCTTCTTTTGTCTATAGTGAGGCCTGAACCCAGGATATAGCTTTGCATTGAGCTACATTCCCAGCTCTTTTATTTTGAGATGTCTCTCTAAGTCATTCAGTCACTCAGGTTGGCCTAGAAGTTGTTGTGAACCTTCTGCCTCAGCCTCCCAAATAGCTGTTACAGGTGCATGTCACCATGCTCAGCATCAGAAGTTGTCATTAGGAGGAGACTGGCCCTTTGCAATGAGTTTCTGAACATTTCTTACAGTCTTATTTGTGAATTATGTTTATTCATTCATTCGTTTTGTCTCATAGTAGAGATTGAACCCAGGGCATTTGTACTGAGCTATACCCCTAAACACACCCCCTTTGTATTTTGCAGTTTTTTTGAGACAGGGGCTACCCAAGCTGGGCTTGAACTTGCTATTGTGCTTTCAGAGTACTGGAATTACAAGCATTTACTAACATGCCTGGTATTATAAAGTATTAGTGAATACCAAGTTTCTTGATTAAAAAAATAAAGATGTGTGAGTGAAATTTAACCATAAGACCTTGTGAGTTAATATCCTCCTGTTTTTTAAATATAGGGTGAACATGGCCAGTCTTGTGCCAAAATGCTTGTGAATCGAGCACTAGGGCGCTGGAGGCAGCGTATGCTTCGAGCAGATAACACCAGTGCTATAGTAATCTCCATCTCGCCGGGAGTGGACAATCAGGGAGACTTCACCAATGAAGATGAGCTCTATCTGAACCTGACTGACAGCCCTTCCTACAACAGTCAAGAAACCTGTGTAACAAATCCTTCTCCGTGTTCTACACCACCAGTCAAGGTATATGGTCTTCCCTTTTTAAGTTATGTTTAGTAGCCAGAATTTATTTGGTTAGTGTTGCCGAAAAATAATTTTTAATTCTTGATAAAACAGGATTTTGACTTTGAACTAGGTTCAATAAAGTAATGGATCTTTGTTATGTAACTTGCTTGAGAGTCTTACTTATACCAGTACTAATCTAAATGTGTGTGTGTGTGTGTGTGTGTGTGTGTGTGTGTGTGTGTAGCATTTAATAGAAAAATGATTGTGGCCTCTGAGGAATACCAGTGTTTGGAATTTATGCTGTAGACATTTATAAAGAACTTTAAAAGTTTGTGAAGCACTTTATTTGTAATATTTCACTTGAACCTCATAACTCCAATAGTATTGATATTATGATTCCAATTTATGCATATTAGCACTGAGAGGTTAAACAGTCTGAACAAGGTCATACAGAATCAAGATTAGACTCTTATGTTAAAATAGACCTCAGACCTACTACTTTGGTAACATGAATAGGAAACTTTATTCCAATTTCCATTTTAATGTGAATGAGTTTAAGATACGCAGAGAAGCAAATTTAAATGGATACATTTTCCTTTTTCTGTTTTTTTTTAAAGAACTCAAATATTTGTTTTTATTTTTACTCATATTTTTTTCCTACCAAAAATTAATAATGATAACTGTGTACGTTTTTTGGAGACAGAGTCGCACTATGTAGTTCAAGTTGGCCTCAGACTCAGCCTCCTGCATGGCAGGATAAAGGCATGTGCCACCACACCCAGCAGAAGATCTTTTTAACAGTAAAAGGCTGTTATTAACTCCCCTCAAAATATTCCTTCTTTTTTTTTTTTCTTTCTTCTTCATTTTGAGATAGGATCTTACTATGCAGTTCAGGCCGGCCATGAGCTCACTTTGTGGCCCAGGCTGATCTCGAACTCACAGTGATCCTCCTTTCTCAGCCTCCCGAATGCTGGTATTACAGGTGTGCACCGTCACGCCCAACTCCATCATTCTCACTTTTGAACACTTTCCCCATCATTCTTGGTGCTTTCTGAAGCAGTTCCTTTTTTTTTTTTTTTTTTTTGGAGACAGGGTCCCACTATGGAACCCCAACTGGCCTTGAACTCACTTTGTAGTTCAGGCTGGCCTCAAACTTCAGTGATCTTCCTGCCTCAGCCTCTCAAGTGCTGGAATTGCAGGCATGAGTTACCATGCCTGGTTTAAGCAGTCTTGGAAGTCTTTTGTGTCTTTAGTTGTGTGTAGTGTGGCTGCTTCATTGTCCTGAATTGACTCAAAACGTTTACCTTTCTTGGACATTTTGACTTCAAGAAAGGGTCAGATTTCGCACAGTGCCACATACAGGGAATAAGGTGGATGAAGACGTACTGTAATATTTTTTGCATGCCTACCTTTCCACTAGATAGCATCAGGCAGCAGCATTCACTACATTTTTTATCATACCTCATAAAGACACTCATGAAAGAGGGTTTGAGAGCTGCTTCAGAAAGTGGCAAGAAGCCAGGTGTGGTGGCGCACCAGCATTTGGGAGGCTAAGGCAGGACCACTGCCATGAGTTCAAGGCCAGCCTGAACTACACAGCTAGACCCTGTCTCAAGTCACACGCCCCAAACAAAAGAAAGTGGCAAGAATGATGGGATAAGCATGCTTACATTCTTTTACTATAATAAATATTCTTTTACTATAATTTTTTTTATTTAAGCACACTATATTTTTTGGATAATGCTTGTATCTTTATTTTTGCTTACATATCTGTAGACAGGAATACTTGTGACCACATGAATTGTAACTGATTTTGGATAGTCTATTTTATTTCAGTTATTATCTTGAATGCGGGGGGGTTCAGTGTCATTGTTACCTTTATATTACTTTCCTCTTACCCAGGTTACTCCCATATGTCCTTGTAAAGAGATCAGAAGATATGTATTAAACAAAAAGGTGAATGCATATCATATTTTTGACATCTTAATACCTTCTTAAGGAGCTGAGCATAATTTGTTTTACTTTTTGTTTTTCAGTCACTGGAAGAGGATCCGTGGCCCAGGCTGAACTCTAAAGACCATATACCTACCCTCGTCCGCAGTAATGCCTTCTCAGAGAATCTGTTAGAGATCCCAACCGAGATAACTCGAGGGAGTGTCCAGGCTGTAGTCATACCCTCAAAAGACCCAGAGCCACTTGAGGAAAACTGCACTAAAACCCTAACTTTAAGGATACATGATTCTTTGAACAATACCCTGTCAGTTGGCCTTGTGCCTACAAATTCAACAAATACTATGTTGGACCAAAAAAATTTAAAGATATCCACTCCTGGTCAAATGAAGGCCCAAGAAGTTGAAAGAACCCCTCCAGCAAACTTTAAAAGGACATTAGAAGAATCTAACTCCGGCCCACTTATGAAGAAGCATAGACGAAATGGCTTAAGCCGAAGTAGTAGTGCTCAACCTGCAAGCCTCCCCACAACCTCACAGCGGAAGAACTCTGTTAAACTTACCATGCGACGCAGACTTAGGGGCCAGAAGAAAATGGGCAATCCTTTACTGCATCAGCACAGGAAAACTGTTTGTGTTTGCTGAAATGTATCTGGAAGTGGGGTTTTTCCAAACAGAATATGAGGGCTTTTTAAATTTGGTGCCATCATGGGTGTGGTGGCACACGCCTGTAATCCCAACACTTGGGAGGCTGAGGCAGGAGAATTACCACAAGTTCAAGGGCAACCTGAACTATATAGAAGACCCAGTCTCAAAAAATAAAATGAAATAAAGAATAAATAAATTTGGTGCAGAGTTTAACTTTTTTTAAGGAGACAAAATAAAGAGTATACAATTTGACCTTTTAGAATTTAACAGTTTTATCCTGGCCTTGTATGTGCTTGTATGATCAATGTGAATTTTGTAGCTGTTAGGGCATAAGTTGCTGTAAAATGTGTGTAAATTTGTATCTTTTACACAACTCAGTCTCATACTCTGATATACAATAATTGTGACAACAGGGCTACATGGTTAAAAAAATCGAAAGAATATTAGATTTTAGAAATACATTTTAGACTTTCTAAAATGCTTATTAACATTTTTGTATAAGTCACACGTGATGAAAACAATACACCTTTTTAAAGTAAATTATTAAGCAGACTGGAAAAGTGATGTATTTTCATAGTGACCTGTGTCCCACTTAATGTTTCCTAGAGACTACTAGGATCTTTTAAAAATTATTTTTTATTTCTAATTTCATAACTCAGAGCTAAATTTTTCATAGAAGTATTGAGCCATGCTAAAGTAGCTGGATGTTAGTCTCTGTGTTCCAATTAAAGTTCTACGCAGTATCTCTTATTTCAGTAGCATTTTCTAAAACATCAGCCAGTTACACTCACTGGATCTTCAGCATAGAAGGTGTGTCTGCCTAAAACAATGCCCTTCTCAGTCAGCCCAGACCAACATTATTAGGTTGTAAAATAGTAACCTTCTTCTAGTGTTTGCTTAAAATGCGTGAAGTTTTTCTTGCTATTTCAATAACAGATGGTGCTGCTAATTTCCAACATTTCTTTAAATTATTTTATATTGTATGGTTTTCATCAGTTATATGAGTATGTTTGTTCATCTAATAAATCAGTGAATAATTCTTCATGTCGCCAGATTTTTGGTGGTGGTGGTTCATTTTAATGGTGTATAGTAAATTGTGCTAGGAACATGCTTGAGAGTAATAACAAAATACATAACACTCATTCTTGTACTCTGAATTTTTAATTTAAATACGGAAAACACAAAAAAGAAGCCAAATATCCAAGAATATAATTAAGTCAGTTATGACTTACAAATATTTGTTAAAATATGTAGCAGTTAAAAATGAATAAAATTATAATCCCAGCCCTTGGGAGGCTGAGGCAGGAGGAGTGTCTTGAGTTTGAGGCCAGCCTGGCCCACATAGTTTAACGTCAGCCTAAATTACTACATAGCAAGACCCTGTCTCAAAAAAAAAAAAAGGAGGGGGATGTAGCTCATAACACAAGTGCCTGCCTGGCAAGTGCAAGGTCCTGAGTTTGATTCCCGGTACCAAAAAAAAAAAAAATCTATGTATACACACACAAACACACACACACACACACACACACTTTGGTAATATAATGGATGCAAGTTATTTTGGCCTTTCTTTTTTCCTTTCTTTTTTTTGCAGGCTGGGTGGTACTGAGAATTAAGCCAAGTGCCTTCACACATCTCCAGCCCTTTTAAAGTTATTTGTTTCTTGAGACACAGTCTCCCTAAGTTGTTGAATTGCTCAGGGTGGGCTCACACTTACGATCCTTCTGCCTCAGCCTCCCAAGTGCTGGGGTTACAGTTCCCTTTTTAAAAAACAAGGTCTTGCTGTGCACTTCAAGGTGGCCTTGAACTTGGAGTGACCCTCCTGCCTCAACCTCCTGAGTGCTGATTACAGGCGTGCGCCACCATGTTTGGCCCTATTCACTTTTTATTGCTACATAGTTTACCAAATAGAAGTCATAACTGACTTAACCATATTCTTGGATATTTGGTTCATTTTGTATGTATTCTGTATTTAAATTAAAAATTCAAAAAAAAAAAATTCAGAGTGCACACCTGTCTTAGTAATGTAGGAAAAAAACCTTTAAAGCAATATATAATTTTGCTGTGGTTAGTTGTATTCTGTAAGAAAATTTTTATTTTAAACATGAAATCTCACGGAGAGACAATTTGTACATGTACCAGCTCCCCAAGATGCAGTACACAGTAACCACTGTATAGGACAAAGATGTACTAAAAATAATAACAAAATTTTTTATAGCATGGAAAAATTAGTTAACTCATAATTGGCTGTGGGGGCAAATGTCTGTAGTCCCAGCTGCTTGGGAAGCTGAGCAGGAGTTGCAAGTTTGATCTCATCCTGGGCACTGAAACAAGACCTTTTCTAAAGAGCAACCCCCCTCCCCGTGCCTCCCGAGAAAACCAGACCGAGCGCTGGAACCCACACCTGCAGACGCGAAAGTTGCACATTCATCCTCAACTAACTTCGTGCCCATGGATTCCATGCCCTGGCCATGGCCTCCCACCAACTACAAGCCCACTCTGCTTTCCCTTCTGCACAGGGCAGCAGAAGACGAATGAACTCACCTCCCTGATCACGGAAGAAGCCAGTGTCCCAGGAGAGAGAGCAAGCCCCAGAGGGTTAGCACCTCTGGGGAAAAATAACAGACCAGGCAAGCCATGCTAGCCCCAAGAAAAGCTGAGGGCTATTGTAAACAACAAAAATAGCATGGGTTTTACTCCAGAAGTGACTCCACCGAAGGCTAGAGTTAGAAGAAATCCAGTGCAGTCTCCACCATACTGACGAGAGTTTAATCAAGAGCCATTTGAGAGGGGCTGGGGTTTTAGCTCAGCAGCACAGCGCCTGCCTGGTAAGCGCAAGGTCATCAGTTCGATTCCTGGTACCGGAAAGAAACAAAACAAAACAAAAGAGCCATTTGGGGAAGAGGTTAATTGTTTAAGACAGCCACAGAACAACTTCATTTCTGGGTTTCCAGTGTTATCCTACCAGAGTGATTAGGTGAGACAGCCACAGGGAGGGTGTGGATGAGATTAAAAATAGAGCCCCTCAGAAGTTTTAAGTTCAGGCCAGGAAGGATGTGGAGCCCTACCCCGCCTGTGAGAATCCAGGGCCAGCAAGTGTGGTTTTCGGAAACCTCTGGATCTGAAAGTGTTGACAGTAAGTCTCTCCCTCCGCTGGAACACCAGCCCCGCTGCTACATCCAGTAGAGAGAGACCTGTGGTTCTACTGCTTTTCCTATTGACCAGCGTGAGCAAGAACATGCCCAAGCTTGGACAGTTGCCACAGTCTGGCGTGTATGGACAGAAGGGCCTTTGGGGAGTGCCTCACAAATCCACAGGCTGTAACTCGAGGTGGAGAAAACTTGCTTTCTGTATCTCAAGACTGCGGATCCTGGGGAGAGGGGCATTCATTCAAAAACAGAGGAATTATTTTTTAGATTTTTTTTCATTTTTTTTTTTATTTCTTCTTTTTTGGGGAGGCTGGTTTTTTTCCTTACTTTAATTTTTTTCCTTGTTTTTTTATTCTTCCTCTTTTTTTTTTTTTTGCTTGTTCTTTTTTGTTTACTTATTTCCTTTTAATCCATAATAGGTGACTTTAACTTAATTCTCTTCTCATCTGCCATTGATTAACTTTTCAAATCTTACTTTCTTCATGATCCTGTTCCCCTTTCCATCTTTATTAGTATAACCATGAAAGTATATATCAATATTTGGTTTGTCTTAGTATATAACTATAGTTCTCATTTCTATAAGGGTGGTAAGCTCCTGGTTCTTACGGTACATCAATGACCTGTTTGTCTTTTACACTGTGATTGCTTTTATTGCTGGGGTGGCGTCGTTGTTAGTATTAATTGTTTTTCTCTGTATGCCAGTATCTAGATTGCCTTTGTGTCATAAACAGTACTGCAGCCTATTGCTGAGAACTGGATTCTGGGTCAGTTATAATGCAGCCTCCCCTCCTAAATTAATGGAGCTTATTAGATCTTGGGACAGGGCCAGAGGCTCATAGTCAGCCATGCCCAGAGTACATCACTGAAAAGCAGACACTAAAAGCGTTGGCATTCTAGCGACAAAGTCCACTATAATCAGCCTGAAAATCTCAACACACACACACACACGCACACACACACACCAGAAACATGACAAGGCAACAAAATGCATCCAAAAACTCCCAACACGCTCAAAGCCAATCAGTGGGGCACTGAGGGAGAAGAAATTAAAAGCCACTGAGCTGAAGTATTGGAAATGATAGAAGCAGAGATTTCTAAAAATCTACTGGAGCATGTTTATTATTATGTGTTTCCTACAACAACCATTGAGAATAGTTAATGATTATTCAATAGGTCACTCATGTATAGCTCTATTTATTTTCTTTAGAAGCCACTTGGAAGATACCAAACTATAGTACAACCACTATTGATAATCTCCTACCTCTTTTGTCTGTAACTCACTATCATTTGTCTATTTGTTTTCCTGAGAAACTATCTTGTAGACAACAATATGTAAAACAATAACCATTGATAATTTCCTACCACTTTGTCTGTCATTTGGTAAGCCCCCCCATTATTATGTTATCCTTCTTTTACTCTTTAAAAAAAAAAATCTCCTGGAAGATAAAATAGTTATAACTCTTGAAGACACAGGGATAGGCAAGGACTTTCTGAACAGAGCCCCAATTGTATAAGACATACTAAGCATCAACAAATGGGACCATATCAAATTAAAAAGCTTCTGCACAGCAAAGAGAACAACCACCAGTGTAAAGAGACAATCTACAGAATGGGAAGCAATTTTTGCACACTATTCCTTGGATAAAGGACTAATACCCTAGAACACATAGAGAACTAAAAAAAAAATTCAACCCCCCCCCAAGTAAAAGGACCCAATTAAAAAGATGGGCAACTGAAATGGACACTGCTCAGAGGATGTACAAATGGTCAATCAATATATGAAAAAATGTTCAGCACATTATGGTTTGTGTCTAGCTGTCCCCTCAAAGCCTCATGCAGTCATGGGGTGGGCTTCTAGAGTTTTTGATTGACTCATGGTCCAATGCTGGAATTATGGGTATGAGTGCTACACCCACCCTTATATTGTATTCAGGGTGAGGAGCCTGCATACAATATAAGGGAGGGAAAGGGGCTTGCTCACTGCTGCTCCT